AAACCCCTACCGCCCACGTGGTCCGCCCCCCTCTGTATCAGCTCCATCTGTCTCTGCTCCACCCCCACCGGCCTCCTGCTCTTCCCAGAGACCAGACCCCTCCTGCCCAGGGGCATGCGCACTAGGTTTCCGCCTGGGCAGATCTTCCTCCAGGCGGCCTCCTGGGGTTATGACTCCCAATCTCTCCTCAAGGTCACCTCCCAGCGAGCCCCACACTGACCACCCCAACAACAGCCGCTTGCCCTGACCCACAGCACACACCTCGGTCCCCTTCCCGGGGTGTTTCCCCAGAGCCCTTCCCTCTCTCCCCCTCACCCCTTCCTGCTCACTGGCTCTTACACACTCTGTGCCCCACACGCCTGCCCACGGGCCAACAGGTCTCCCATCCCCCTCAGTGAGGCCCCAGAGGCAACCCCAGCGCTCACCTCTGTCACTCAACCAGCCTCTCCTGCAGGGGGAGCCCCTCCCTGTGCTGGACACAGTGTCCTCATGGCTGTGGCCCCAGCACAGCTGTCCTGGGGCTGCTGCAGCTCAGGGTGCCCCCCGGGTAAGTCACTGCCCTGCACTGCCCCCAGCGTTGCTCCCCTAAATCTGCAGCTGCCTCCCGTTCCCACATCCTGGGTCCCACTGGAGGCTGGAGAGGGGGCAGCGGGCAGAGCACAGTCCCAGCAGGACCTGATCTCAGAGGAGGAATGAGGGGACCTTCCTCTGTGCTAACTCTACAACCTGGTTCCCCGAAAGTTCAAGGAAAGAACATGAGGCCCGAGAAGGAGGCAAGAACAGCAGGAGCCTGAAACCCATCTCCCCACAGGCAGGGTCCTGTGTGCAGGGACCTGGGCCTGTGGGACAATGACGGGCAACATGTACCCTGTGTCAGACGGGGACACCCAGAGAATGAGACCAAGATTCACACACAAAAGCAATAAGACACATAATATCAACCAAAAAAAAAAAAAAACCCAAACAAAAAAAACAAGTAAACAACACCCAGAAGATGAGGTCTGAGGGCCAGACCCAGGCCTGAGCCCCTGCTGACCTGCCCCAGGAAGGCCTTGCTGTCCATGGTCCTGGAGATGCACTGCATTAGGACACGTGACAAGGCCTGGGGGATGTGAATCTCTGTGACCACAGGTCCTGGTGGGACAGGGTTCCACTGAGGGACAAGGTCAGAGGAGCAGAGAGGTGACCCGGCCGAGGAGTGACCACATCAAAGCCCACGATGCACTGAGCACCACTTGGACACAGACCCGACCACTCTCTGTCCTCACAGCCCCTCCTGTCCCACCTGGGACAACCACAGATACACACGGTTCTGGAAAGCTCTTGGTGCTTCAGTTTATTTCCTCTCAGAGTTTAGGATCTTCCCCTTTAATTAATCCCACACCATTCTTGGGAAGTAATGAACAAACAAGGTCACATCCCGAAACTCATTTCAATATGGAGCAGGAAGTTGCAGCTCAGCGCCCCAGGGAGTAAAGGCAGGGATGGGGAGGACCCAGCCTGCCTCTGCTGACAGGAAAGTGTGGGGAGCAGGGCTGGCCCAGCCCCCCCCAATCAGAGGTTCTTAAGTCAGGAAGTGGGAGCGTGAACACATCTTCCATCACTCAGTCCCCACAAGGCAGCTGCCTCACGCTGTGGAGGACAAGCATCATGAAAACATTCAGGTCAGTGGCTGTAACTGGTGCCATTATCAAAGGCCACTTCATGCTCACAGTGTCCCACAGACTTCCCACCACCCAGTCCTCCCCTCTGCCCACCCCTCTCGAAAGCAGGGTCGCACCTTTAGAAGCCGAGAGAGACACATCAGAGCCCTGGCCTCTGTCACTGCCTGGGGGGGGGGGGACACACCAGGACGGGGTCAGAGCCCCAGGGTAGGAGGCTAAGGAGGAACTATGGGGGGGTCCCCCAGGGGCTCCCGTCTGCACTGTCACAGCGACTCAGGGGTCCCCCCTTCACACTCACTGGCAGCCTGAGTGTAGCTCCGTCCACTTCCACCTGTGGGAAGAAAACATCCCGTGAGAGACCAGGGAGGAGGCAGGGCCATGAGGTCCTAAAGGAAGCCCTAGTCCTGAGCCCCAGAGAAGTTTCCAGAACCTTGTGCATAGACCCAAGGCAGGACCAGGAACACTGAGGGAAGTGCATGTGTGGGGACTGGACCCACCACCCTCCTGGAGGTCTGTGCTCAGCAGGGACCTGCCCTCTGACCTGGGGATGCTGGGAACGGGGTCCCCACCACCAGCATCATCAGGTGATAAGTAGGTCCCTCATTTTCCCACAGTCCTCACTAAAGAGTAAGTGTGAGCACAGAGCCCCACACTGGCCATCACACGGGTGGGGATGGTGCTTTCCATGAATGAGGTGGGACACACGTCTACCTGGGCTTGAACCCCCAGTGGGAAAGACATTCAGACCGAACCGCTGCCCACCTGAGCGCCTCCTCCCCCACATCACAGCTCCAGCCATGGCTCCCAGCAGAACCAGGCCCCCAACGATGCCCATGATGATGAAGATAAAGGTCTGAGAAGGCGGCTCTGGGAGGAGAAGGGAAGGGAGAGTGAGGGCCCTGACCCCAGGCCTCAGCCTCGACCCCACTGAGGTCCCCCAGAGCCCCCGCTGCCCTGAGAAGAGGCTCTGTGCCCACGGGCCCTCCTCACCCCATCTCAGGGTCAGGGGCTCGGGCAGCCCCTCGTGCTGCACATGGCACGTGTATCTCTGCTCCTCTCCAGAGGGCACCCCCACAGCCGCCCACTTCTGGAAGGTGCCATCCCCCGCAGGCCTGGTCTCCACCAGCTCCCTGTCCTGGGTCTGGTCCTCCCCGTCACACTGCCAGGTCAGGCTGATGTCCGCAGGGTAGAAGCCCAGCGCCCAGCACCTCAGGGTGACCTCACGGGCAGAGATGGGGTGGTGGGTCACGTGAGCCTTTGGAGAGTCTGAGGGGAGGAGAGAAAATGCAGGAACTTTGCATCCATCATGGGACACTCCAGCAGCGCCCATGTGACCATCGTGAGAATGGACAGACTCCTAGGGAGGGGGAGGGAGCACACAACCCCCACACCAGCCTGCACAGAGGCTCCTGGAGGACCTCCTAGTCTTTAGAAAGTTCTAGAATCAGAGACACAGCCCAGGCCAGGAGGCAGGTCTCTGAGGGGAGAAAAGGGATATCTGGTCCTGACCTGAGTGGAGGCCACGTGACTCAGAAAAGCTGGGGTGAGGCCTCAGACACAGTGGGTGTTAGGCAGCGCACAAGGCCTGAGAGAGAAGGTCCCCGTGGGTCCCAGAGCCCCTGCAGGGCCCATGGGAACCGTTGATGGGCTATTTCCGGGGTGTCTCCGCATTTACCTGCTCCTGCACCCCAGGAGAGCCTGCATCCCTAACTGTCCCTGAGAGGAGGGGGGTCCCTCTGGTACCTGACCTGGACATCCAGGGGGGCTCCCTCCCTGACCTCAAGGCGTGGTGTCTGACACTCACCCCCTGTCCTGTCTCCTTCTAGGAGCCTCAGCCCCAGGGAAGGGGGCAGCCCCAGGGCCCCTGGTACCTGCACGCTGCAGGGTCTCCATCCCTTTTTCCAGGTAAATGAGGAGCCACTCCATGCAGGTGCCCTCCAGGAACCTCCTCTCACGCTCTGCCACACCGGCCGCCTCCCACTTGCGCCTGGTGATCTGAGCCGCCATGTCGGCCGCGGTCCAGGAGGTCAGGTCCTTGTTCAGGGCGATGTATTCCGGCGCCATCATAGGCCCACTGACTGTAACCGCGGAGTAGGCGCCCATCGGGTCTCATGTAGCAGCCTCTCATGCACTGGTAGGTGTGAGACCCTGACCCCGCCCCGAGGTCAGCTCCGCCCCGCCCTCCCAGCCTGGACTTACTCTAAACTGACAGTGAAATCCGGTCAAAGTCCCCGGGGCCTCCTCCCGCGTGGGGGCCGGGAGGGTCCTGCCGCCTCGGGGTGATGCTCGGATCTGGACCCTCTGGGCGACCCTTGCCCGTCCGTGAGGAGGGGGGTCGTGAGGGGCCCGGCTCGCGGCTCACCGTCCTCGCTCTGGTGTAGTAGCCGAGGGCGATCTACAGGTTCTCTCTGAAAACCTGTTCGTTGGCCTTGACCCACAGCGCCTCCTCCTCCCAATACCCGGGGTCCTCCTGCTCCACCCACGGCTGCTGCATCCAAGGCGCCCGCAGCTCCACCCTCTGATTCAGGGCGTCGCTGTCGAACCGCACGAACTGCGTGTCGTCCACGTAGCCGACTTCAAAATACCGGGGCTCCCCGCGGCCGGGCCAGGACACGCTGGTGTAGAAATTTCTCAGGGAGTGGGGGCCTGGGGGGCGGACG